AATTGTGACTTCCGATAAACGTGACCAAGGCAATCCATAGACCCAACTTCTATAACAAAATACCTACCCAAGATAACTCTAACCTCGGACCAAGTTAATCCTCGCCTCTTTCAAGCCTTATCCAAGCTAGGGTTACCTCTTTAGTTGGATTTTTGGATTGTTTGATTTATTTGTATAGATTAGTTAGGATTCGAACCTCTGTGTAACCTAACTTCCGGACGAGTTCTAGCCTAGAACCAATCCTCACTTTTTCACTGTACGTAATCATGCATTGAAAAAATAATAAATATATATGCATAATTGGTATTTGATTGATTTGCCCGATTTAGGATTAGTCAGATTTATAGCTAACATCGATTAATCGATTTTTTCGACTTTGAGGAACAAGCAACCAGGGCTACTTCAGTTCCTATAGCAATAGCAACCCAAATCCCTGCAGCACAAAAAAACTATCTCCGGCAACACTAATTCCTGCTCAAATTAAAAATATATATATATATATATATATATACAAATTAAATAATTAAATTAGAACTCAATACCATTGTCTGCTTCGTATGAACTTTTCTTTATCTGCAGTTAACATAATTCCTTTCAACACCCCCTTCACAAATAATGTTTAAAAATAAATTCACATAACAAAATTTTAAGACTTCTTTAAAATGTAATTATTTGCTCTGCAGATTATACTGTATAATTTTTTATTAAGGTGTTTGCCAGTGTGATCGACAAAAAAAATCTAGTCTAACTCCAAATGAATTTAACCCTGAAAGGCACAAAAATCATTAATTCAGTCTAAGACTTAAGTCTTACCTAATATATAAAAATCCTGAAAATAAAATTCACGTTCATATGAGAGATGTCAAAGAGAAAATGTAATTTCATATTATTATTACAAATTAAGTAATTTCGTTTTACCTTATCGCTATAGGATTTAACTTTTAGAGTTAGTAACCGCTAAGGATATCAAGAATTTACCGGATACTTAGGATTGTGAATTACAAGTTTAGGGAATCAATCAAGTAATGAAATATAAATTAGTTTTAACATCATTATGCAGACAATCAATATTATAAAAGTGCACGGAGGCAATTAAGTTCTCACGGAACAAACTTAAATATAATCTTATCGATTAAGAGCACAGACCATAAATTTTATCATGTCTTCTTCAAGAAATAATCATGACCAAGAGGTAAAAAAAAAAAAAAAAAAAATAGCCTTTTATATATGTTTCTAATTCTAAAGTGTTTTTCTAACAAAGTATCTTTTAGATTACTGGCCGACTTATCGGTCCATATTTGAGCGGTTTACCCCTAAGACTTTTTGTAAAATTACTCGATTATGTCCCTGGGTTATCAAGTTATTTTTTCTCGAGTATGGGATTAGGAGTTTTGAGAAATAAACTCTTTAAAGATGACATGAACTTAATGCCATTGCCTTTACCAAAAGAAGTGTTTGGCATTGAAAACTCAAAGGTATTCTATAAAATAAATTAATATTAATACGTATTTTTAATCTTAAAAATTTATATGTATTTGTGATATGTTTAATTATTCTCTTAAAACACAATATATGATTTAGACTGTCGATGGGTTGGAAATTTTTGACAGAAAAATTAATGAACATGATCCAGTTCCAGAAAATCAAAGATTTTTATGCGCACGTGACTTTACTGAAGCATACTTAACCAAAAGGGTTACGCCTCTACAAGTATGTTAACATTACTATATTGGTTTTTAATCATAATACGTATATCATAAGAATAATTATTATTTATAAATAATAACTTACTGATTTCAATTATTATTCATGAATTATAAAAGATATGCGAGAAATTAATCGACAAAATAAATCGTTCATGCTCTGAAGCGTGTGATCCACCTCTTTATGGTAATTTTATATTTAAGAACATCAGCTTACCACTAATCACACAAATAATAATTCGTAAATTTTAGGTATGTGTCAATACCATCGAGATGATATTATTGCTCAGGCCGAAGCATCAACATCCAGATATAATCAAGACGAATCATTGGGACCCCTTGATGGTGTTCCTGTGGCAATTAAGGACGAGCTTGATGTTATGGGTTATGAAACACGTGTAGGAACTTCATTTCTTAATAAAGAAAATCCCGCCTTAAAGGATGCGTTTTTGGTGAAAAAATTAAGAGATCAAGGTGCTATCATAATCGGAAAAACAAACATGCACGAAATTGGATTTGGGTAAGTTTATTCGAAACTAATATATATTAGATATACATAACATCTTAATATATTAAATTATCTCTTTTTTTTTCCTTTTAAATAGTATAACAACCAATAATCCAAGTGTACATACAACTCGCAACCCCTACAATACCAATTATTACTGTGGAGGGTCAAGCGGAGGTAGTGCGTGCGTTGTTTCCAGGTTATTAAATTTATCAATATCCTTTTTTTTTAAAAAAAAAAATAATTTGTTAAATCAATATTGTTAATTGTCACATGATAGCGGTTTGTGTCCAATCGCTATAGGCGGTGATGGCGGTGGTTCTATCAGGTAATTATTAAAATAATCTTTGTTTGAAAATCTTCAAGAATGATTCTAAAATTTATTATTCATATTTAGAATACCTTCCTCTTTCTGTGGTATTTATGGATTAAAGCCTACATGTGGAAGGATTTCTTTAACAGGCTATTGTAAGTACGATATATATGAGATCTAATGTCTCTCGCTATGTAAATCTCATAATATTATTATTTATTTGATTATTATATATTTTCAAAAAAATTATCTGATAATATATAAATAATTATTGTTTTTATACAGTTTATTGCTGCTCTGTAGGTGATAATTATAATTATTATTATTATTACAATCAACATTATTATTAGAGGAATTTCATATAATTAATTTTAAAAAATAACAAACTTTATTTAGGTGTTGTGGGTCCTATGGCTGCTTGCGTTGATGATCTAGCATTAGCTTATTATGTTATTGCCGGCAAAGATTCTGAGGTTTGTAATTTTAAAATTTGTTATAATTAAATATTACTTGTATATTTTAACTTTTAATTTATTTTTAGGATCCAAAAACTTTACACCAACCATCACCAACACTTCATGGTCTTTACCTTACTAATACTTTATCTGATTTAAAGATTGGTATCTTCTCTGCATGGAATAGACAAGTGGTCGACCCTACTATTACTACTGCTCTTCATACTTTCATTAATGAATTCAAACTTCGTGGTGCTGAATTTGTTGAGATTGATATTCCAGAATTAGATGACGCTCGAATAGCTCATATGATTACTATTGCTTCCGAAATCTGCTCAGCGATTAATGGATACAAAGATTCTTTAAGCTTATTGAGTCTTCCTAATAGAGTTAACATCTCAACTTATGGTAATATGAATGCTTCTGATTATATTAAAGCACAACAGGTTCGTACGCGAATGATGCGTAATATCTCTGTTGTATTCTCGGGTGTTGACCTTATTTTAACACCTACATGTGCTATAACCGCTCCACCAATTTATCCACGAGCTTTGAAATATGGTGAATTGGATTCTACTGTTATGTCTGACGGAATAAGATTTACATCTTTAGCAAATTTTATTGGAATTCCTGCAATTACTGTACCTGCAGGTTATAATGATAAAGGTTTACCTGTTGGATTACAATTTATGGCAAAATGGTATGATGAAGCTACATTATTAAGAATTGCAAAAGTCTCTGAGGAAATATTGGGAAGTAAAAGAAGAAGACCTGCTGATAGATATTGGTTTGGTGATTTATTAAATTCTTTTTAATTAGGCAATAGGTTATTTTATATAATTATATTGAATATATTTTGAGAAATAAAATTTGTAAAAATTATCTGAAAAAAAATGCAATTAATGAATTATTAATGAAACAATAACGATCTAGTGCTTGGATCCGGATAAGGGTTTGGCTAACGGATAAATTATCCGGATTATCCGGATATCCGGTTATCCATAATAAATTAGATTTAAACGCGAAATAAGTATGTTAGTGTTACATTAAAGTACAAATTAGTGATTTAAGCCGCATGGTTTAGGTCGGCTCGCTTAGCCAGCTGACCAAAACATCGGCTAAGCGGCTTATATTGGATTTTTCCTTATGCCAGCCATACTAATTTTTAATTCCGGCCATTAATTCTTAAGCCGGCCTAACTAATTCCTAATGCCGGGCCAAACTAATTCTTAATACCGGGCCAACTAATCCTTAATGCCGAGCCTAACTAATTCTTAATGCCGGTCAAACTGATTCTTAATGCCGGTCTAACTGATTCTTAATGTTGGCCTGCTTTAGCCGCATTAGCCAGCTCATATGGGCGGATTTGACGCATGTAGATCTTTATGTGATAATTCAGTAATTAGATATTATAATCAAAGATTTTGATTGGATATTTTCCCGAACTATTTCCTTATTTAGGGGATGGCTAAAAGCAGGTACATTACAAGATTACCTGATTTTTCCGATTTTTAATTAAAATCAACAATTGTTATTAGGGTTAGAATTTGATCGAGTTGTTTATATAGTAAAATCGCATTTCCGACACTTTTACTTAGTGAACCAAGACTGGTTTAGATGGCCGTTTTTTATATTTTTCGTGTTTTGTCTGTGTTGTCTCGCTTTGTTTTTTTCGAGCTGATCCAAGTTGTATACCGGGTAATCTCGTGATGTACCTGGCTTTAGCCAACCCCCTTATTTAGTAACTATGAAGTAAAGAAAGTCACAACAAATACTGAAATATCACATTAATCACGTGCAATATAATTGATTAGTTAGTTAGATAAATTTATATTTCACGTATGCATGTAGATCATTGACTGAATTATCACCTTTGATGAGTCAAATCCGCTCATATGTGACCTTATTTTACACCGCTTTGGCTTGCTTAAAATACTAGTACAAATATAAGCATATATACAGATACAAAAAATTTTTAAATTATGTTTCTGATATAAATTTCATAATTTTATCTTTTTTTGAGTCTAATACATCAAAAAACATAAATTTTGTATCACATGCTGAATAATATAGAGTTCTCTGTTTAATTTTGACAATTTATTTTTTTTTTTTTAACTTAGGCAATTTTGCTCTTCATTTATTAATAGAAAATATATAATATTATGACAATAATATAAACTATACTAAACTAGCTATACAACTACTCTCTTCAACTAATTCTGAACTCACTTAGTTACTTAAAAGTATCTAAGTACGATCTGTTGTATTCTTCTTAGAAAGAAGATTTGTCTAAGCAAAAAACTATCTTTCTAATCTATAGAAGACTACTATATGTTTATTAACTTCAGATAATTAGATATAATAATAAATAATTAGTTGTATATAATTTAACTAATGATGATTTTAAATTTCTTAGAGTTTCTTTTCGTATATATTTCTTAAATTATATTGTAGTCAAATTTGCTCACAACTTTTAAAAATAATTTTTAATATCAGATAAAAATTCTAAATATTAATTTTAACAATATATTTACTAATTAAAAAATAGGTTTAAATATCTTTTTTATCAACTTTATTAAGAAATTTTTTTAAATTTATTAGAAATCTTTTGAGTAATAAAGCTTTTTTTTTTTGTTGTTAAAAGTAGCTTACATTGCCAAAAGAATTTTATTAGAGTTGCAAATGAAATTATATAAGGATATATCAATAGAAATCAAGTAAATTGTTTTAATTAAAATTTTTTTGAAACTTTAAACAACAATAACTCAATAAAAGCTTTATCAAATTTAATAAAATTTTTTTTAAATTAATTTTACAATTTGTATTATTTATTTTAAAAAAAATTTTATTAATTTTGATAGAGTTTTTATTAAGTTATTGTTAGTAAAAATTTCAAAAAAATTTATTTGGAAAAAATTTACTTGATTTCTATTGATTCAACTCTATATATTGATAATCTCTACTATTTGTAATTATATGAAGAGTATATAATAAGCAATATATATAACTTAGTTATTATCTATTTTAAGTAGTCTACTATATAGATATTAGACTACTTAATTGATTTTATACTATACTACTATACTTGTAACTCATCTGTGAGTTACTCATTTAAATACTCTATTTATTAACTTATATAGATTCAATCTAATATCATTACAATATCTAATCACTTAAGCTAGCTAGCTTATTACAAATCTATTTATTCAGAATGACTTAGATTTTTTTAGAATATATTATATCTAATATATTGTTAGTTTTGCAGAAACAGTTAACCTTGAAGCAAATCTACTAGAATAGTTTGTACTTATTTTATGAATTTATTTAGATTAGACTCTTAAAGATATTCATACTATCACAGGTTCTACTATAGTCTTTTACTAGTTAGTTGATCTAGTCTTTTTTAATATCTAGCTTAAAAATTTTAAAACCTTCTACTTTTATTAAACTAAGTTTTCTTTTTAGATTAGACTTTAACTGATATAGTTCTATCAAAAAGCTATACTACTTTACTAACTTAAAATTTTTACTATATAAGTTCTCTACTCATATATTTTATTAAAATTTATTCATATAATATTATATCATACTTCTAAGTTTAGATTAATTTGATACAACTTAATTTACAAAAATATGCTTCTAAAAATGAATAGAGTTTATTATAATATGTTATAAAGTCTAGAAAATTATTCAAATTCATTAATAGTAGGATTTGAACTTTAAACTAGAGTTATTAATAGAGTAGTATATTCTGAAATAGCTCTGAAATAAACTTAACTCAAGTTAGAGTAGGTTAAAATTATGATTAAAAATCTAGAATAAAACTAAGTAAATCAGAGCAACTACTAAACAAATTTAAAATAGTTCCAGAGTGAATCTAACTTAAGTTAGAGTGAGTTGAAGACTAGTTTAATTTAATTTAATTTAACTCAACTTATTAATAACTCTATTCTAAACCTATTATATAACAGTTTAATAATTTAATTGCTGATCTGGCTAAGATCAGCAATAATTTTATAAAATTTTATATTAATTAAACAGGATAAGATTTATAATTATTTTACTATGAATACTTGAATCTGAAAACTTTTATACTTTAATGTTAGAAAAAAAATGTTAAGTAGCTGTTACACTTTTAGATACAGGTTTAATTAATGAAAACTTTTATTATAGACCTTTTTCTCATTTTTGCTAGTGTAAAAATGATACAAAAAAAGAAAATTGTTCTTTATTCCCAATTCATATTGGCCAAAAAACTGCTACTATTCTTAACAAACAAAAGTTTATTGTAACGTAGCTATTGGCTATTCTTCTGCTCTTTTTTTACTTGGCTACCAATATTATTGTGGTAGTATAATTTCAGAAATTGTTGCTGATCCAAGTACTGCTGTATCAATAGTATATGCTAATATATTTAAAAACAAAACCCAAGTATCAGGACCCCTTGTAATTGGATAGACAAATGAAAAAATTATTTTACAACTTTTATTTGATATTATATTTTATCCTTTTTTTTTTTCTTTAAATAGTAGAATGCAAATTTTTGTATTTGGAATTGGCGTGTTATCACGTCAAAATCTTAGTAAAGGTAGATCTAAGTTTAAATCATCACTAATTCCTGAACATAATTTAAAACACATATTATTTGTTTCAACTATAGATAATAATTTAAACTATCTTCTAGAAATTTACCAAGAATTTCAACTAATAAAATGTATTGAGAGATGAACTTCTGATGAAGTTTGGTATCTAATTAGTATAAAAAATTTTACTGGCACACAACTTTTTGGTTTAGATAATTCAACAACTCAACTATATATTAATTAATATAAAGTTTCTACCTGTACTTTTGTTGATTAGAATAATTATGATATTATGAAGAAACTTTTTGATTACCACTTAAAATGAAGAACAATTGCTGATATCTTATGGTATCAGTTCTTTATTAATTGAGCCCAAAATGAAAATGAAATAATAGAGCTAGTTACTAGCTTACAAAAAATCTACCCAACATATTACTAGTTTAGTGAAAGAGAATTTAGCACTTGGAAAACCTTAATACGAGCTGCAGATAGATTTAATATTACTCCATGGCTATCCGATGAATCAGAGGTAATCAAAGATTGAATATAACAGTAAATTAAATCAATAAATTATTTATTATAATAAAATTATTAGTTTCAGATTTAGACATATGCTAATTCAGCAAACAAAGATAAAGAAATATTACAAACTTTATATAAAATAGGGTTTTTAGTGCTGATACCAAAGAATATGCCTAACACTACACAAATATTCTGGTCCTGTTTTCAATGTGCTCTTTTAGATAATAAAAAAACTTCTGATAGCAAACAATATATATTATCTATTATCGCAAATGATTTTATTTACTCTGAATTAAAAACTAATTTGAATATAAGATAATTTTTTTTTTTTTTAAACTTCTAACTATATTAGTTAGGGATGTTATATGATGCTATTTTATTAAATATAAGATAATTTAAAATTAGTAATATTTTAATTTTAAAATTTTAATAAAAATTTAAATTATAAGGTTGGCGAGCATATAGTAAATAAATCTCGAAAATATACAATAACCAATAGATATGGTGCATCACTACTTACCATGCCTGTTATTTATCGTGTTCGATTTTCATCTGAAAGTTTAACACAATTTGATCAATTTTTTATGCATAAAGATAATATTTCACAAAGTAGTTACAAAACTAAAACTTTAACTAGTTTACCTGTATTGTATTTGCATGATATAAAAAAAGGACTATAGGAAAAATTCTATAAAGAATTTTTAAATAGAATATGTCGTACTACTTTCATAACACATTTAGAAAGTAGCCAATTTCTATATAAAGAAAATATGGGTGGACTTTGTAGTGCATGTAATGAATATGGTTATGAAGTATTTGAAGATATCAAATCACTAATTGATGGATACATAACAAATACAGTTGACAGAGTATAAATCTTTTTTATATTTTACTGTAATAATTATATTAAATATCTATTAATTAATTATTTGATAAATAAAATAGAAAAAATTAATTGAAACTATGGAATACTTACAAAGATATCTAAGAAAAGATTATGCAAAAAATCTTCTAATAGACAAGTCAGGTATTCTAATTCATAATTCCTGTATTAGTTATTGTCTTTCATATGTATTTGGAAGCTGTAATAATTTACATCCCAATATATGTAAAGAATGTGAAAGTTTTCTAGAATTTTTTGATCAATTACAAGAAAAATTAGAAGAAGAACAACAAGAGGCTTTAATAGATTATCAAAATTGATTAGTTGCTTTTATGGCTCATCATATATATAGGACGTATTTGAATAAACAATTATCTGCTGAACTTGAATTATTGGATCATACCAGAGCACTACTTCTTGTAGATTTCAAAATGTGAATTAATTCCCAAAGTGTATGTGAAACAAAAGAGGAATTTTTTGGTAAAAGAAGATGGACTTTACATACCATTCTAGTATATCAAAAAAATATATTGAATGGAATATTAAATATACAAGCTTTTGACTATTGGTCTGATGATACTCGCCAAGATGCCTGGTTTGCAGCTTTGTCACTTCATATAGTTATAGAAGTTATTGATCCAAAACTACAATAGATAACTATTATATCAGATAATAGACCACATTATAGAAATACAGAATTAATGCTAATTATAGGTCATTGGAAAGAATAGTATAATGTTAACTTGCGAAAATAGATTTTTCTTGAGGCAGGAGAAGCAAAATCTACAATAGACTCACACTATGCTCAGGTTTTTCAATTATATTTATATTTAGGCTATTCAAAGTTGATTAGTTGTTTAACATCACTCTCTTCTCTCAATCAACTGTTCCTCAAAATTAAACAAGCCAATTATAAGGTAGAATAAGAAAGAAAAAAAATTTTAGATGAAAATTCTTATGAAAAGTTCTGAATAATCGTGTTTATTTTAATGTATTTGTTTAAATTACCCTCTCATCTAAAAATTGAAAATGGTGACGTTAAACAACTAATTAACATTGAATAGCCTATCTGATATAATATATATAAGCTTATCTATAATAATTTTCTAGATTATGCATTCAATCAAAAGATAGGTCAAGTTAGGTTACAATATTGAATCAGGACAAGATATAGAAAATGCAATAAAAAACTTATCTAGAACACATGTAGCTAACCTTGAATCTAATCATGATTTAGGTATATAACTTTAATTCTAAGCAAGGAGTTTGGGTCAAAATTCTGAAAATTTAATTGTTACTTTATATGATGCAATATTCAAAGTCTATTAATAATTTGTAATTTATGATTACTAATTATCATGGGCTTTGAATATTGCATCACGTAAGTGATAATTAAATTTTCAGGATTTTAACTAAACTCTTAAATGAAATAATAATAACAAAATTGTAGACTAAGCTAGTTGTTAGATCAAATTAAGTATAGAAACATCAATAATCTAGTTTTTCAGTTCAATTTCAAAGAAACTAAATTTTATTATATATCAAATCAAATATTATTGAATAGAACTAAAGGCGTTCTCAAGTATTTCACTCAATAGATCTAAAATAAAATTTTAATTAGTAAGAATTTAAATAAACTAAACAGAAGAGTTATTATCTCGATTAATAAAATAGCAAACTCGATTAGCTAAAGTTCAAAATTCACAATTCATATAATGAATTTTCAGCATATTGTTACTAATTAATTGTAATAATCTTAATCATTTAATCACATTGAGAGAGCTGCTTAAAAACACCCTAAATAAAAATAATCTAAGCTTTGAAAAATTGGTTAGTAACCTCTAACAATAATTGTTTGTTCTAAATAATATATATAGACAAAAAAAAATTAGGAACACTTTCAGGAATCTCAACCTGGCATGAATTTATATAGCCTGAAGCAGGCAAAAATGCAGACTATCTTTGTGCACGATCCTTACTAGACTTTGGACCTTTGCATAACTTTAGTCCTCTACAATTAAAAAAAATTATCAAGAATCATATATTTGAAAAACCAAACTCATCTCTAACCACACACTCGCAACTCACAAAAATTTGAACTACTTATATTTCTACTCAAGGTACTATTATATATATATATTTAAATAAATATGATCTTATATTGTATTTTTTTTTTTTTTTTTTATTAGAAGAAAAACAATCAGAAGAAGAAGAAAATAAGATACATTTATTTCATATTTGATTTGAGCCTAAATCTCAATAATAATAAAATATATATGATAAAAGGTATGAATAGTGATTCAATTAATTCGACAAATATATCTAATATGAATCTAGACAATTTATCTATATCTAGAAGGTATAAATTTACTTGCCTTTTATAGTTTAGACGTATTCGATTATTTATAATTTTCATTAAATTTTAGTCATACGAAATTTGTTTTGGGTTGGGCCTTTCAAGAGAATCTAAAAGTTAATCAGAAGGAATCAGTAAAACGATTAACTGAGCAAGTAAAAAAACTTTTAAGAGTTATGTTTTATTCTAGAGTAATAAATTCAAAATTAAAAATGAATATTGCGAAAATGCATACTGAATTATTACAGCATACTTACTAGGGAGAAATTCAACAACATGATATACCAAAGGTGTCTACGATAGCTAATTAGATTATAAGAACTTCTCAAGCTGTTAAACATAATATGGCATTAGAGTTTTTAGAAAAGAATAATACGTTCAAAGTTCAATCATAACTAAACATAAGGTTCTTAGTACTTTATAGTAGAGATTCTTAGTATTTTTAGTAGAGATCCTATTATAATATGTAATTAACTCTTAGTTACAACTACTATTATTAATAAATTGCAAAAAAAAGATTTTTGAATTTATACTTTGCAATACCTAAATACTGGCAGTAATAAAAAAAATGTTTAGTAAGTTCTTTGTAGAAAATTTTCATTCAAATAGAGTAATAAATATGGTATATTCAATAAGAAATTGTTCATATACTTACGTAGAAATCTACGATCTGGCTATAATAAACTCGTTAAATAATAAAACAAATTAATTTTTTTTTTTTTAGATAGCATTACAGTAGGTCTTATTTTGTATTTTCATATGATTAAATACAAAGAATCATTGATTTTCTGTATATTTGCCTTTTCAAGTTTTTGAGATTTTTTATGTTTTACTTATAGATATAGACCCTAATTTTCTATACTAAATTTCTGCTGATCTTAGCCGAATTAGCAATTAATTACTATACTAGATTACTAGATCTTAAGTAATAAAGCTTTAAAGTTTAGCTTTAAAAATTTTTACTATAAAATTTTTTTTTCTAAAATTTATAAATTTTATATATTCTTAAAGTTAAAAAAATTTTTTACTTCTAATATAAGTTCAAATTCTTTTAATTAAATTATAAAAGTTGTAATAATAAAAATTGTAATCTTTTAAAAGTTTTATCAAATTGTTTTAAGAATTATATCTCTAAAACTTAAATTAAAGAAATCTATTTAAAAATATTAATCAAATTTTTGAGTAAAAATTTTTCTTAAAATTATTTATTTTTAGCTTATAGATAATACAAACTTTTTGTTTTGTAATATAAAAATAAATACTACAAAAATATAATCCTTATTTTCAAATATTCATATATAAATTTTTATTTAGATATTTTAAATTTTTAAAAATATAGATCATTATTATATTTAGACTATTATATAAACAAATTTGTTTGCATCTCTTTACAATATAAAGGATAGTAACTATTTTTTTCAAAAAAATATTAGACTATATAAATAGTTTATTTGTTTCTAATTTTAGAAAGATACTATTAGCTCATATCAAACCTATTTAGTCTTTTTTTAAAAACTTTTTTATCTATATTCTAGCAGAATAAAGGAAAAAATAGTTTTATAAAAAAATATTATAAGGTTTAGTGATCTAGTATAGTAGTTAGTTTATCAGACTACTATGTAATAGATCTAAGGTTTAAATCTTACTATTGATAAATTTGAATAATTTCTCAGACTTTGTAATATATTATAGTAAACTCTGTTTGTTTTTAGAGATATACTTCTGTAAATTAAGTTATACTAAATTGATCTGAACTTAGAAGTATAATGTAATATTACATGAATAATCTTAATAGAATATATAAACAGAAGATTTGCATAGTAGAAATTCTGAGTTAGTAAAGTAGTATAGCTTTCTAACAGGCTATATTAGTTAAAGTCTAATCTAGAAAGAAGACTTAATCTAATAAAGGTAGAAAGTTTCAAAGTCTTTAGATAAAGAGTAACTAGAACTAGCTGAATACTGAAAAAGAACTATATTAACTAATTAGTGAAGAACTATAGTAGAATCTAGAATTGTATAAACATCTATAAGAGTTTAAACTAAGTAAATTTATAAAATAGATACAGACTACTCTAGTAGGTTTGCTTCAAGGTTAACTAGTTTTGCAATACTAATAATATATTAGATATAATATATCTTAAGAAGATTTAAGCCAGTGTTATATATTTTGGCATATCTAAAGCTTTTTTGGATATATTCAATGTCTAAACATCCAAGTGTCCAAAGTGTCTAAGCTATCTATAGCCTTAAATATTTTAGTAATTAATATAAAAATTATATAATTATATTCTTTTTTTAATTCTAAACATTTTTGCTTAAGAAGTTTAAATAAATTATCTTAATAAAATTTTGAGTAAATTCAGTTTATTTTTTTGTTCAAAATGTCTAAGATGTCTAAAATTATATTCAAAGGCTGTCTAATGATAATACTGATTTAAGCTATTCTAAATAAATAGATTTATAATAAGCTAGATAGCTTAAGTGGTTAGATGTTGTAGTAATATTAGATAAGATCTGTATGAGTTAATAAACAGAGTATTTAAATAGATAACTTACAGACAGGTTATAGATATAGTAGTATAATGTAAAACTAATTAGGTAGCCTAATATCTATGTAGCAAACTATTTAAAATAGATAATGACTAAAGTTATACATATAGCTTGTTGTATACTCATTATATAATTACAAATAGTATAGATTATCAATATATAATTTGTATTATTATAATCTGTGTTTGGTTTTTAGTTACATGATAATGATCAGAATATTTTCGATTATAGAAAATTATTCAACATATCAATATTATCAAAAAGCAAATTTTAACTAAAACAAGAATATTATATATGTAGCTAGTTTCTAGCTTTAACAAATATATATACAAATTATAATTTTATATTAGTACACAAAAATAAAATAGTTATTATATATTAATATATAGTATCTTTATTTAGTTCAAACTATGTATTTACTTAACATTAACTATAAAAAGTAAAACAATCTATGCTTAGTGCAAATAAAGTGAAAAGGAGAGAAAAGAACAATTTTCGAATACAACAAAGCAACTAAAGAGAACTGGGACAGCTACAGAAGCAAATTACATCTGCTGCTCAAAAGAAGAGTCAATAAAGTGCTATAGAACAACAACTCAATATAAAATAATGTAGTGGACTAAGAAACAGATATAAATCTAAATAAAGAATAGGATAGTATAAGTAGAAGTATTAAGCAAGTAGCAGAGGAAGAGATCCCAAGAAGAAAGATAGTAAATTCTGGTATTAACAAAGTTTCAAAAAGAAGATACTCAGAATTACAAAGTGCAATAAATATGTTAAGAAAGTTAGTTAAGAGGTGCAAAGAAAAGAAA